AATTCGAACAGCGCTAACTTTAACATAACCACTATCATCTCGCTGAAGTCAAATTACCCTAAAAAGCTCTCTATTCTAGATCGGGATAAGCTTCTAGTTTTAATTTAAATATACCCTTTAACTTCTTGAGATAAATTAATACACTTTGAAACGCGTGACTTAAAATCCCTTTTGATCTCGTACTTTAATGCCCTAGCTTTGACTGTACATTGATGCTACACTCAAGTACATCATTATTCTATAATATGTAATACAGTGTTTAATGCACCAATTTAGTGTAGAAAATAAATCAACTGCAGCTACTTAATTAGTATTTTAGTAGCACAAAGATGGTAATTTTAATTGAATCTGATACTAACGATGCCTTTGTTAATGTAGCTACTTCCCTTTGTTTGTGAAGAAGTATACTGTGAATTATTTACTATAAGCTTTATTTCAGCAATTAATTTTCTTTACCACTTACAGTTCATCAAATTTCTAGAGGTGTTCGACGCCCAGACAGAGAACGCGCTACGTGTGACTAAGATAGCTATTGTACAGTCTGCTAAACAAGTTATTTTAAATAGTTTTTAATATTTTTAGGTAATTAAATTTTAAAAGTGTGGAATAGTTTAGGGATTAAATTGGTCTGATTGGACTTTCTTAGAACGTTTTTAAAAGCAGCTAAAGATAGTATGTAGAATTGAAAATAATTATTATGCCATAAAAGGTGTTTTGGAATTCCTTCAACCTTTTGAAATTGAGTCAGAAAATATAAATTTTATAGGATAGCGGAAAATACCTATAAATTTTTTGTAGGCCTTTGTAAATCGTGGAAATAGTTTATATTTTATTTCTACCTTATTAAGGAAAATGGTACCTATTATTAATAACGGTTGTTTCTGAAACATTACTAAAATTTTCGAAATTTTGTTTTTCTACAAAATAATAAACTATACTATTTAGAAAAAAATTTATTTCTCTTATAATTTTATAAAAAATAACAGGGGAATATTTACATTTCTTGATCTATTAAACAAAACGATAAATTATCTCAACGAATGACACCGCATGTTCTAGTACGGAAGCTAGCTTTACATTTTTGTTGGTGGTTTCATGGGTTTCATATCAATTTTTTGTAATTGTAGTTTACACGTACATATACCTCTTAACACTTGTTTGCTTTATTAAAAAAGTGTGTTGTTGTGATTTACGTCGAAATAAGTCAAAAACAACTTGAAACCCCATATAAAATCAAAAAGGAGAAACGGAAAAAAATTGAGCCTGTAAATGAACACAACTCAGAAACAAAAATAGCTATCTAATAATAAAAAAATAAAATTTGATTCTTGTGCAGCTTCATCTATATCATTAACTGTTTTTGGTTTTTTAATGGTTTTTCTTGGTGATGAAAATTCCGATATCTCACGGTTATCGATTCTTTTTTTCTCTCCAGAAATGCGGACGACAGTGTTTTTAGATACTCCTGTGGCTGCAGCAACACGATCATTTACATTTTTAAATGGTATTGAAGGTGAATTAAAGTTTCCTTCTCTTCTCATAAACTCTATAACATTGGCTATTATTTCGCGAGATTGACTGTTAATCACGCGGCCTCTTAATTTGCTATTAAACTCCATACTTAGGTTCTATTAAACTGTAATGAGCAAAAAACACAAACGAAAATAAAAGAAATGTTTTAGCGAAATTTACATCTGACATTTACGTCTGAATGAAATAGTGAAATACTTGATGCGCAGAGTGTACTTTCATTGCGTAAATCCGTCGGGATGCCTGTCAGTAGTGCTTTCTCTGTCTAGCCGTCGAAAGCCTCTAGAAATTTGATGAACTGTATCAGAAAATATTGAGTTGCTGTTTTAAATTTTTAAAGACGTAGCTACTGCTCCAACAAACGTCCAAATAGTATTCTTATCTATAAAATAATTTAATGTTTAATAAAACAAAATCCAAACTGAACTGACTTTATTTTTTCTGCTCGTAAAATATTCACAAATACGGAATTTAAAAAAGAACCAAAAAACTGTTTCTTCCAGGAAAAAACACAGTACTCTGAATTCTCTGCGTTCCCAACAGGACAAATTGAAGGTATCATACTGTCGTGAACCACCCTAAGCCAACTCTGATCACCTTCGCCGTTACAGCTGTTGCTTCGTCTGTTTCAATACTGCAGGACAGAGACAAACGCACTCCTTCGAGAAGCTATCAGAGAAAGCATTACGCGGTGGCTGAGTCATAGATGACAAAATTGCAAAGTTTCTAGATGGTTGAGAATGTTCTAGTGCAGAGCTGGCTCTACATAAATAGCGCGTGGTTTTTAATAGACGTTAAATTTCAATACGCAACAGGCCAGATATTCTAATTTACGGAAAACAAACTAAGGAAATAACAATAATTGACATATCTGTGCCGGCTCCTGCAAATATACATAAAAAAGAGAAAATTGAAAAATACTTACTTCTATTCTTAGACATGAAAGAGACGTGGGAAGCTACAAGTGTGAGAGTAATCCCTATAATAATTGGCACAACCGATGAAATTACTAAAAACCTGAAAAGGTACTGAAAAAGTCCTAGACCAGCCGTTCGTAATACATACAAAACTACAGAAAGCGTCGATCTTGGGAACATGCAATAGGCGAGTTCGGATAGTCAGGGGCTGGAGCGGGACAAAAGCGGAGTTTTTTAGAGTGCTTTTAAATGACATTTAAGCGTATTAAACTGTCACTAATCGGACTAAACCGAACGCTAAAAGGGTCGTCTGGAGTAAAAAGTGTTAACATATGTTTAGACATTGTTAAAGTGTGTTCTTATTAAGGAGGTCCTTTCGCCACCAATGTTAAATAAAAAATATTAGATTATGACTAAAATTAATTTTTTTCTAATAGTAGATGTCCTTATTTATCTAATAGTGAACTTTTAACTATACCTTACCGTGCAAATTTTTGAGAAAATTTTTTTTTAAAAATGTGTGTGTTTGTACAGTGTCTTATGAGAAAGTAAGACTTCAACAACAATTTTCGAATTATAATTAATTTTACTATTATTTATTGATTAGATGGAGTAGAAAAAAACTAAAAATAAGGTTTTTGAAATATTTAGGTTTTGTTTTTTACAATAAAATATATAGGTTACCGTGGAATTTATCGAGAAATTATTATTAAAAAATCACAAAAAATTTTCAACTAGGTTACTTGAAATTTTTTTGTGATTTTTTAATATTAATTTCTCAATAAGTTCCACGGTTTACTATATATATATTTTATTGTATAAAACAAAATCTAAATATTTCAAAAACCTTATTTTTAGTTTTTTTCTACTCCATCTAATCAATAAATAATAGTATAATTCGAGAATTGTTGTTGAGGACTTACTTTCTCGTGAGGCACTGTACAAATACTCACATTTTTTAAAAAAAAAATCTCAAAAATTTGCAAGGTAAGGTATAGTTAAAAGTTCAGTATTAGATAAATAAAGACTTCAACTATTAGAAAAAAATTAATTTTAGTCATAATCTAATAACTTTTTTTTTAACATTTGAGGCGAGAGGTGTGGCGAAAGGACCTCCTTAATTTTGTACCAAAAATACGACAGAATACCTACTACCTATCTATGACAATCACTATAGTTCAGTGGTGACAATACACAGTATATGTCTCCTAAATTATTTGGACAACCATAATCAAGCATCAAAATTGTAAAATATTAAAAATCCAAAGCACATGCTTTAACAATTGGTTTTTGGATTATTTATTGGACAAGTACAATAATTTATACTTTTTTTAATTCTTGTAATTTAAAAGTATTTTGCAAATTCTTAATATTTTATTAATAAGTGGTGCAGGACTTTTTTTATCGAGAAAACATATATCGAAAACATGTATTTTAGTGTGGTTGGAACACGTGGGTAATTTTTAAAACCGTGGGTGGATAAAGTGGTAATTTAGATATTGAGCGATGGGAAATTTTAGATTTTCGATTCGGCAACTCTGGTCACAGGAACGTTTAACTGGTTTGATATTAAATCTCCGTCGAACATGAAATTGCCACTAATTTAAATTATGATACAATCATAAGTCTGTTTTCTGAAAAAAAAGCCCGAAAATATATTTAGTTTTTATGAACCTATGTAGGTATTTGGTCTGAGTCAGATTTTTTGAGTTTCATTTTTATGTGCCTACGTATAATGTATGTGTTACTATGTAACATATGTATTTAATCACGTTATATTTTTTAATAAACATTTTTTAAAGTTAGCCAATTTTTTTAATACCTTCAAACATAAGAGCGACAATTTAAAAACATGCACCGGGCGGCCAAAAGTCTAGGGACGGCCCTGGCCATTTGATTAACATACTTTCGACTTATTAGCTCTGGCTGCTTAGGTATCAGCCCGCAGACAACTACCAACCACTGGTAAAAGCCAAGATTAAGAAAATAATATTATTTATTATTATTAATAATACTAAAATATATCTTGGTAATTATAAGGTAATTATTAAATAGTTAGGTACATGACTATGTTTTTAAATATTTAATAAATGGTAATAAATATCTAAATAATTCAAGTAGCCACTTCTGTAATTATAGTGGAACTATAAGATCTTGTAACATAGAAATCCAGATTATTTGTTTAATATCCTATACCTAATACCATTGTGTGAACATAGAGTACACCACGGCATATAATATGTCTTTGGAGTAATTTTTTAAGCAATTTAGCATTTTATTTAATTAAGTCCCAAAAAATGATTACACACAGATGAATTAAAATGCTTGCTCAAATTTCATTTAGGTACTTTTTAAAATGAACAATATAAACAAATAGAAAACTATACTTATATCGACATATCGTTTTAACATGACTACAACGTCTAAACAGTTCTGACTAAAAATGGCTAAGTTTTGAAGCGCCATTGAGCGCTATCTGTTGGTTATATTTTAAAGCCTATTTATCGATTTAACTTCTGATTGGAGGTAACGTGCAATTTCATTTTTCATTTTTCTAACGGTCAACAGCTGTTATGGCGCTTAACTGTTACATGCCTCACATTGCATAAAGTTGAATATTAAACTCTTAAAATCTATAGTTCGTATCTAGTTTAAAATCCCGTTGCTACGTTATTTGAAAATGTCGTTTAGTAAAGCAAAAATCCAACGATTCAATGATGTGAAAAGTAAGTTTATCAGATTGTTATTTATGTTTGAATGTTGGTTAGGTATTTACTTTCGCTTTTAAAATGGCATGTATGCTTTTAATTTTGAATGAAATTGAATGAAAAGTGAATGAAACATTGTCTGAGTTTTATGTTTTTCAAACCGTAATACATTTAGAACAATTTGGTATTAATATTGCGAATTTACAAACTATACATCAAAACTAATTTAGAATTTCAACCGCTAATGATCTAATTAGCAAAGTTATTTTTATATATGTTACATGTCTTGTTTAGCCTACATTTTAATTCAAAAAAATTGTTATTGGTTAAATAATAAAATATTATGTATATTACTATATAATTAATCCTTTGTTCATATGTAAAATATAATCAACAATTTTAATTAACAGTAACCAAATATTGTATATTATAAATCCATTGATTTCAATTTTATTTTTAATTCTGATATTAGAAATGTAAAGCGTAATCATTAAATCAATGTAACTAATTTTAAACTTCTTTGTATAAATTATTTTGTTTTTTAACGTCTTAATAACGGTCAGATTTTATCTGATCAAATTTAACGGAAATTTGATTATATAGTTAAAATTTACATGTTCTTAAATAATAAAATAGTCAAGTATTTTAAATATTAAATCTGTAAATATTAAATAATCTGTAAATATATTTTTTATTTATGAAAATCGGCAAATGTTTTTTCGCAAAATATTTTGTCCAATTATTATTAAAATTTGCTTTTATATAAAAGAAGGTTGGACACTCACTTGTTCAAGCTAGATAGGTATAGTGTCTGCATCTACATTGTTGTAACCCTTATTGTTTCAGATTAAAATGTTTATCATATTTTAATTGAATTTTTCCTTAATATATTATTAAAACTATATCAAACTATCTAGAAAATAAAATGTTTGAACGAATTTATATTTTACACGAAATTGTTTCTATTTCTTAAGTAAACTAATTTTTCAAAAAAAATTATGCCAACTTATTTTAAAAACTTTGTTTAACAATAGAAAAAGACATTTTCGCTGCCGTTCCTGGAACAACACGTCCTGTCTCTGAAAAAACAAAACTCAAAACAAAAGTTGAAAAAGCAAATCATTGCAACCAGGCTTTGGACAAGGCAAAATCTGATACTGCATCATCTCAAAGTGTTCCATGTTTTCGAACAGTAAGTACCTTCTACATAAGTTTAAATTTTCGAAACAACAGACATTTTTATTCAAAATGTTATCACTAGATAAACTCAGTAAATTGTATACATTACATTCGTAAATTGTCCCCCTTCAATTCTAAATGGGGTGAGATAAAAATCTATTAGAAGGCGCAATCACCTCTAAAATTTCCAATGGCTAGTGCATGGGATTTTGAAATATCTCATTTGAGCTTTATTTTGATTCTGAATACATTGATGTAATAGCTATTTATGCAGGTAACCACTTGGGTAATACCTTATTATGTGGAATGAGTGTATATTTGCGGAACCAGCAGGGTGAGGATTTTTCTAATATTGACTACATTATTTAAGAAATTGTGTTTGGTAAAAAATGACTAACCATTGACTTTTTGTATTTCCAGTCAAAGAGTTTAGAAAATGTTTACCATTACAATTTTGATTTTTTTGTCAAAGTTTTTAGAAAGTGGGTTATTTTGCATAAATATGTACATTTTTAGTTTTTCTCCATAAAGTCTCGTCAGTGTAGTATATTGAGTGAAATAATTTGTCATTGTTTCGTGCATGTCTAGGATGGACCAAGACAGTTTAAAATAGTAGTGAGCGAATCAGAATTATTACTCATTCACTGACAAAAACTATTTTTATATAGCCAACCTTCATTCCTCCGGTATAATTTTTCAAAACCAAAATATGATGCAAGTCTATTGATTTTAAAATCAAAAAAGGTTTGTTTTTATTTGTCTTCTTTATGCAACTGGTGACAATGAACTTTTCATAACCAGTTACATAAAATAAGACAAATGATTTATCAATTTCATTGATAATAATTTCTTATTCGGTGCTTCATATGTCAAAAATACAGCAAAATGACTTAACATGTCACAAAATTGATTTTTTATGGATTTGAAACTTTTCCAATATAAATTTTACCATGATGAATGTGGTAATACTAGACAGTAATGGAAAGAAGTGTGAAGAATGCTGGCATATGTCATTGTGTCAAAGTTTGGACACAGATTAACTACAACAGATGCGAAACCCAGCAAAAGATCAAAGGATTTTGAAATGAGATTTCTAAGACCTTGAACTTTAAATGGGTATGGCATAGGTGTTGCCAATTTTAATTATTTTCAATCAGTCTTACTAAATATGACTTTCTTCTAAACATGCGTTTTGGATGCCAGGGTTGGTTTAGGTAATTAATGGTTTAATGTATAGTAGCAGCACGAGTATGTTAAAAAAGTTGTCGATAGGATTTTAATTTTTAAACATTTTAAAAGAAAAAGAATATGATTTGTATTATTATTTTCAAAATTTTATTAAGGTAGAAAATTATAACAGGCAACGAATTATAATGTAAAGGTTTTAAAAATTTGTTAAGCGGGCTTTATTAGCCATCAAATCTATTTAAAGGCCTCCATTTTCCTTTTAATGTGTTAAAATAAATATATTGGCAATTAATGGCCTATTGATGGGAAGTTAACGGGAAATTGCAGGACGTTTAACATATTAATACTGACTGCTGAATAAAGGCCATGTGCCAGGTACAATTCGATAGTACCTCTTTGGCCAGCAGTACTGTTTGAAGTATAAATATAAAACCTAATGCATTCCAAATTAATAATATGTATGAGTAAGAAATTACAATGAATAGTGAATACCAGCAATCCGAAATTGGCCTCATGTCCATTCGTTGCAAGTGATCAACGGTGTCTATCTATGAATGCAAGATGGAACCCTCCTGGGCTGTTGGAGGGTTGGGTCTGCAGCAGTTTAAAGCCTTTTGACTTTTACCTCGCTCTTACTCAATCATCAACCAACATAATGCTGGGTCACTATCAAAAGGACAAAAGTAGGCTTTTGTTTTTTAATCCTTGCATTCATTTTTGCTTCAATTACAGCAAAAGGCTAGCAGTATCCCGGCAATTCATTTTTTGTTGGGATAAAATATAAACCCATCACTAACAAGTATACCAATACAACTTTTGTAAATAATTGAGGTTTGAATACTTATTTCATATAGCCTATTAGCAGGAAATTACAATTTTATCGCCTGTAGACACAAACCTAATAAAACAAATACTGAACAAATAGTTTGGTACTTCTGAACTGTAAAGTTAAATTGGATGAAATGCAAATCAGAACATTTATTCATGAATATTCATTAAATTTGGTTTTAGTTTTATATCTATCAAATTCTTCATGAATTAATTAATTAATAAAGAATCAGATCTAAAGCACTCATTAAGACATTACTTAAAATACATACCTTTCTATTTTTTTTGCTGATTTCTAAAATATATGTTGCTGAATTTTATTAGATAAAATATTCGAAGACGAATAAGTGACTTTAAAAAGTAGTCATTAGAAAAATGTTGACAAGGGTGTTTAAATCCTTGAACTGTATTAAACAAATTATACGAATTATTTCCAAGTGTGATACAAGGTAAGTTATTTTCTGTTTTTCAAAAAAATAAATATTCCAACTGATATGTACTGATAAAAACATTTGGTTGGTGTTTTTAGACTACCAAATAATGATTTGATATCATATAAGCTTTTAAATGAATAAAATTATTGCTTCTAAGTACCTAAAACGAAAGTTGCAGTAGAAAAGTGTTCATACATTTACAGCTATGAATTTGAAGACATTTTATACGTGCCCTAGATGCCACCATGACGTATATTCTTCGTTTTACTCATGATTTATCTACAGAAGAAAATTAGTTACAAATAAACAATATTTTATCCTAAGCAAGGTTGTCACAAAAAATTTAAATTTTACGCGTTTTTTAAAGTGTCATTGATTGTCATTAATAAATGTAAACTATAAACCATTAAATGGTTTTGTATTATTTTATGTTTAGCGGAGTTTAATTATGCGGTATTTGTATGTAATATCTGTGGTAACTAAAAAATGTATGTTCATTTTCATTTGACTTAAGACGGGAGTTGAAAAGACACCAAATCACAACTGAGAACCGTTACATATCTTGGAAACCAACCTCATTCAATTACTGTTTAATAAAGTATTTTACTCAAAACTATTTTCTCTAAATACTACCGGTTTCCGCTAACGAAAGTCAGGTGAAAGCGTAGAGTGGATATAAACCATCGATGCCAAGTTGTATTAAATTTCCGACATTATGTTTGCATTTTTTGTATAAATAGAAATAGGTATGATCACAAAGCACGTATCTTCTAGAGACCCCACGCCAATGTTAAACTTTTAAACCAAATTAGCGCCACCTTGTGTTTGGAGCTGGAACTAAAATGACAATTGACAGATGGCGGTAAATTCAAATTGTAATTTTTAGGAGTAGGTAGTAGTTTTAAATTAAATTTTAAATGATTTCCACATAAATTATTTTATAAAGTAAAGTATGGAACTAGTAAGTTCGAAACTTTTATTTTACAAAATAATTTAGGTCGATTATACCAAATTTGAAGAATTAATTTGTTATAAGCAGGGGTCTGATTTGGAGAGTTGGTTCTGCATATTATTATTAAATAAATATATGTAAGATATATCAATAAATAATAAAATAGAACATTCTTAAAATATGTTTATTAATAACTTAAATAAATATTATTAGATAAAAATAAATACAAATAATAATACATATTTAACGAATACTTACTTGCAGCAAATAGGTATACAATCTCAAATCTTTAAAATACCTATCAATAATTTAAATGTGAAGTAGAGACTAGGATATTACATTTTATTAACACTAAAATAATATATTTTATAAATGTCTTTTAAACCGAAGACAAATGTAATATAGGTATTGTATTAAAAGGTGAATCCTTTTAACTATTCATTCAATGATAAATAGGTATTTGCCTTCCAAATACAGATAGTGGTATTACTCCACTGCTTTGTGTATTACTCTCTTATGTGAAAAATGATTTCGGAATCTAGTCCAGTGATAAATTGATTATCAATTAGTTGTTATACCCGTTTGTCTTTTTATGATGCAGATCCATGGTGAATCAATAAGTTTTTCTCGAAGTTTTCAACGTAGCTAGCACCAAAATTATTGCAAAACACAGTAGGAAATAGAAAAGCGAAACACAATTTTGCAAATAACTAAGACGAAACTATAAACAGAAACCAAAAGCCAAAGCCAACAAAAAATCACTAAAATCAGACGGAAAAATGAGACTAACCAAAAACATAAATAAATACACCTCACATCTTTGGAGTCTTTGGTTAAGTTTTTCTCCCATAAAGCTTAAAAATGTTGGTTCGGTGGTTCTAATTTTAAATTATTAAAATTTAAGTAAAATGGAGTAAGAAAACAGAATTTCACCAGTAGCCCCATCTAGAGTTTGGAGCAAATAGCATAAAAAATGTCAGTTGTCGGTTTTGACCTTGGTCATTCACGTGGAACCTCTATGTGCTTTGTGGGTATGATTGACAGGAAATTTTAAAAATAATGAAAATATTTCAGAATTAAGGGTAAATAGTTCAAAAAACGAACACCTACAATTTCAAATACAATAATAAATAATAAATAATAAAGGGATTGATTAGAGAATACTACATTTGTTTTTATACATAGGTAATTTTTTATTGGAAAGTTTTGTGAAGACTGACTTTGTTGCGGTATGTTCCGTTTCGTGTCATTTTTAAAACATACGATCTACAAAAATTCAATAAAGTATTCAGTGCGATACAAGCAAACCACTCGAATTATATAGTATTGTATAGTATATTTCTACGAATCACTAAAGAAAATCTACAACGTCTTAAAACGTAATTTAGAGGTTATTAACATAAAATTACTATTTTAAAAATAATTACCTAACACAAAGATTATTTCTGGATTGTACCAAATTATAAAATAAACTTGAAAAAAAAAATTCAACCCGAAATTGAACCTCGGACCGTTCGTACGAAAACTCATCCCTTAAACTTTCGCTATAACTTCTCATATATTTATCTTTAACATTTACACTTAAATAATTGGTTTAGGTCATTTTGTTAA